GAAGTATGGGAGAGCAGGGAGCAGTGCTGGGCGTGGCCCTCCTCTCGACAAATACTCTCCAGGCCCACACCTGCTCACACCTGGCAGGGAAACCTGTTCAACTGGACAGGCTGGACAACTGGAAGGATAACTTCCCTCCTTTCGTTACCGAACGAGAAAGGCTGGCCCCGAACTGCAGCGGGCAGCCCTGCAGCCCCTTTCTGAGTGCGGACAGAATCGGGGTCGCCCCAGTCGAACCCAGTACCGCAGGCGGAAACCGCAGACCGCCGTTTCACTGGTGTGGCAGAGCTGGAGCCTCATTGATATTCGTCAGTCCCGCGGCTCACAGCACCTTCTGTTTGCTCATTGAACACAATGTAAACCTGAAAGGTTTCCCTTGTAGAATCTGTATTTAAATATAATAGCATTGCACGCCTGAATTAGAATACGTGTAATTAGTCACAGTAAGTGCTGGGACTTCACAGCACAAGAGCCACACAGGCAATCAGATCAGGTCCTACAGTGTAATTTTCTATTACCTTAACCTGAAGACTCCGAATGGACATCAGCAGAGCCTGGATAGCTCCGTCGTTAAAGCTCTTAATCTGAGGGTCCAGGGTTCAAGTCCCTGTTCTCTAACTCTGATTAGACATAGCGGGCTCTTTAGCGTTGACGGCTGCTCGCGCGTGCCTGAAGACACGGTGTCAGGCAGGGCCAAGTGGCTGGGGCTCAGCTCTGTGAAGAATGTGAGCCCTGCGGCGGCGACTTCTGTTGCAACGCCACTCTCAGTGCACCCCGAGGAGAGGCCCCTCGATACCAGACACGCCGCAAGCCGGATATTCTAGCCATAGTCTTAGAGCATGAAGAGACGCCGGCCAGAGTGGGCGCCCAGCCCAGCGCTTCACGGGTGATGAGGGGATGCGTGTCATGGGGAACCCTCTGGCCCCCACAACAGTGCAGGGATGGGCACACAAAACACCTGCACCTCCTCCACCGATAGCACAACACGGTTAGGAACGAGCGCAGCCATTCGGCCCATCCGGTAGTTGGTAGCTTATTGATCTCAGGATCTCATCCAGCTGTTTCCTGAGAGAAGTGGGGGTATCTGCTTCAACAACATGGCTGGGCTTCTTGTTCCACACTCCCACCACCCTCTGTGTAAAGTAGAGCCTCCTGTCCTGACTGGAGGATCTTATACAGCTGTTTCTTGAGAGAAGTCAGGGTATCGGCTTCAACAACATGGCTGGGCGGCTTGTTCCCCACTCCCACCACCCTTTGTGAAAATAAAATCGGTATGAATTATAATTCAGATTCAGTCTTTCAGGGTAAAATGTATGCGCTTAGCTTTCGTGGGAGAGTTTAATTTACCTCACAGTCGGGGAAAGACATTTAGGGATGTCTTCAGCAGCAGAAACTCAAGTAATAAACTTGGTTAATATGTTCAGGATGAGAACTGCTAAGAAGTCAACACTCACCTGCTTCACGTCTGAGTGAGAAAAAGCTCATCTCAGGAGAACAAGCTTTAGAAAAGTACTGCAGAAAGGGTATCTGCATTCCGATCCAGCTCCCAGAGTCTGCGGGAATCTGTTAATTGGCTGCAAGCACATTCTGTGCATTCTGAGCTGCTGGGCGTGGGAGTGTGTGTGGAATGTGTGTGTCACTCTCAGTAATGAGCCCAGTAAAACTCAGCCTTACAACAGCAAAAGATCCGTGTGCACATGTGTATGTGGACGTCTGTATGTGCATACAAGAGTGTGAGTGTG